AGCACCCACGTCAGTCTAACATTTGTTTTTTGTTATTGCTTGTGTCTGCATAAATGTATTCACATCTAAGATCCTTCATTTGTTCTCTGTACATTTGGAGTTTGACTCTGTATTCATGATTTTGTGATAATCACTGCAGACATAGTATCAAAAGTCAATTTCTGTGTATAATCAGAAATGTTATGCAGTTTTTTTGCTCAGAAATTAATAAATGTGCTAGTAAGCAGTCAATAAATGCATATATGGAAATTAAAATGTAGGGCTAACATTCATGACTTTGGCAACTTCATTCTGGATGATCAAGTTTTTATTTGTGTAAATAGTAATGTAATTGACAGTATTCAGTTATTTACATGTTCAGTAATTACTTGCTGCTTTTACTGATGCTTCTAAAAGTATGTCCCCCAGAGATTGTAAATTTATTTTATATATTTTATGTCTTGTAAATGCAACTTGAAAATTTAAGTTTGAAGAAGCCAGTAAATTGTCATCAGCATATTCATATGAGAACTATGGATTATGAATATAAAGTAATGTAGTTCTTAAATGATTCTAGTTGCATATGAATGTGCATTTGATTTACTTGATTCAGTGAAGTTAAGACATGGCAGGAAATAGAAATTTAAGTTGAAGAGCCTTAAATAGTATAGGAGAGTTTCTTCAAATGAATCATGATGCACTGGAATGGCCTCCCATACATGAATTATGTTCAGTTCAGAGTGGCTTCCCTTACATGATTCATGGTGCCATAGAATGGCCATCCCTACACAAGGGTCTGTCAACAGTGCCCTGAGTGGCCCTTTCCTCCCACAGAGTTCAGTCAGCCACCCTGCAACGGCACTCAGCAGGTAACATAGACTATGACAACTTGGAGAGCTACGATAATGTGCCTGAGACGCAGATTGGGCATGACCAGTCCAACTTCCAAACACGTAGCAAGACCGTGTCGGACGGCATGGGTGAGTCCCGCCGCCCAGCCTCTCCCAGGCGGCACCAGTGAGGGTGGGGGTCAGGGAGGGAATATGACATTATGACCCGTGACTCAAGTGAGCTCAAGGCCGTTGTAACATACTGTGTGTGAAAAAATATTCAAGAAGAACAGTGTTAACCTGAAGGAAATCACCTGCGGTCTACAGCTCACTACGCGTCCTCTCCCACCACCAGACGAACTCAGTGACTCCACCACCAAGAGCGACGGCGGCAAGGACGAAGTGGGAACGCGATCGGAGGGCGAGGAGGAGGTCATAGAGAAGAAAAAGGCGACCCTAGGCCGGACCCCCAACCACCTCTCGCTGTCCACCACCTCGACGCTCTCAACGGGCTCCACTGGCTCCATGGCCAAGCTTATCCAGGCCAGCAACCAGCCATCCCAGTACCAACCAGCCAAGAGTGTTGGTAAGCAAACCCTCATTGAAGTGTGCATGATCCCTGGTAGTGAATTGCTGGTGTAGATATATGATGGTAAAGTAAAAAAAAAAAAAAAGAAAATTATTGCAGTGCATATTGCATTTATCTGTGCTTCTGTTATGTTTTAGACAAAAAAGATAACAAACTAAAATATGTGTTTATAATGAATAGATATTCTTGTTTTCTCTGTTTTCCAAAGTGAAGTTTAAAGTATAGTAAGCAGTAGTGATAATTTGTTTAACCGTGAAACTGTGATGATTAGGAGTTTTGTTGGCTATAATGATATACTATATTCTTAAGTGTTGTAGTTGTGTCAGTGATTATACCACAATATATGAGTTTTTTATGTATTTGTGTGTACAGTATTAATATTACCCAAGGTCAGTGTAACCCAAAATCTTTTTTATTTTTTGATTTGATATTCTTTACTTTTTTTCATGATTCTCTCCAATGACAAATGCTGTGTATGACTGGAGTTCCAATCACACCAAACCTAGCTAGTCACTGTCATTTCACATCCTGTACATTAGTTTGAGTTTCTTTGGTCTCAAAAATATCAGATGGGAGAATGTTATTAGCTGATGACTAGAAATTGTAATGAGAGTTAAATGTAAGGGATTTTATATTTTCACCATTCTTATTCCTTACTTAAATATCATTATCAATACATATAAATAAAACTATATTAAATAAATACTTATATATGTTGTATGCTGTGTACAGGCAAGCACATACATACATGCATACATACATACATACATACATACACATACATACATACATATGTACACATACATACATGCATACATTCATCCATACATGAAGATTAGCACTTGTAATTATTATTGTCAGTCAGTCTTCTACATAAATTGTGGCATATGTACACATACAAGCATATATAAGTGTTCTGTATTTTAAATCTTCTTTATTATATTTGTATCCATAATGGCATAGCTGACTCAAGTAATTTTGCATGACCCCCTTTTGTTCCACAAGTAATATCAAGCCTGTTTGTTTGCCTGAATAAATTAATGTAACTAGGATGTTTGCCCAGTTGTTTCTTGATCATAGTTGTATCACAGTGTGGATATAATCTGAACCAGAAACATGTCCATCAGCAGCATTATCATAACCCAGTTTATCTGTTTTTGAGCATTAATGCAAGTGGAAAAGCCTCAGGCAGCACTGCCTGTGTACTAGCTGCTGCTGTAGTAGGTATGGAGGCTCTGCATGTGTAAGGGTTATCTTTCTCTGCCCTCAATATATCGTTTTAGTTATTTTTAATCTTACTTGCATTGACAGTAAATGATACAAGCTTGATATGCGTATTCATTATGATTTATTATATATTTAGAGCACGAAAGTCAGACCCGTGAAATATATACATATATAGTTCCATTTCTTTTTTTCTTTGTTTTGTAACATATGTTGCATGGTTTGAAAATATAAAATACCATATGCCCAATTTAGATATTTGGTATTAAGTGAAACACTAGCAGATTTTTAAAATAAACTCAGAACTTTAAATTTACTTTTAACATGCAAGTCATCTATTCCTTAGAAAAAAATTAAATATCAGAGATATGTTGCACTTTGTTTCACATTTCTCTTGTGATTATAATGAAATCCTTATGCTTATTTCAGGTTCCCCAGTGTGGAAGCCCCGTGATGCCTTCGCCCCAGGTGCAGGCAGCACCTTTGGTGCAGGTGCCGGAGGTGCTGGTCAGCGAGGAGAGTCACTAACACTGCCTCGTGCAGGAAAGCCCAGTGGCCGAGAGGATCACTTCCTGGTCTACGAGGAATATGGTGGCAACATCTACATGAGTAGCAAAAAAGACACAGGTTCTACCAAGACTCTTCATTACTGAGGCACTGCTGTTCCCCATGATCAGCAGGCTTCACCACTAACAGCTGCCTCTCCTCTCCTGACTCCGTAACAGCTACCTACTAACAGCGTGCCGCTCGCAAGTCAGCTTAGAACCCTCCCTTCAAACTAATAACATCCTGCTGCTCACACGCCGTGAAGTCCTCCTTGCACACTTCTTATCCTTTAGCATGTCACTGATAACATTTAATTTTTCTTTGAATTCCATAACCTTCAGTGATAGGATTTAGGAACAGCTTCATGTAGCCAAAACATTTAGGATCACTTTAGCTTGATCCTGATGCCCATCATTTGTTAGTGATCTTTACTGATCACAACTGAAACGCTTCCATTGCGGCGATGTTCACGGGAGTTCCTCGTGTGGCCACAACCAAATAGCTTCTTTACTATTAGTTTCAGATGAAAAAAGTGTACAATAAAGTTTGAGATTGTTTAAGCATTTTATATGCTGTAAGATGTGAATCTCAAATGGTGAATAGTATTATCATTATACAAAGAATATAAACATTCAAGTGGTGCTCCTGCATTTAGAGCTCGAGTGAGAGAAGGTTGTTCTGATAAATGCAGCAGTGACAGCTTTAGCTATTTCATTGTGTTGTGACTAAGTTGTTAAGGTCCCAGACTTATTTGTCCTACGCTTTGGAAGGCTTAGCCCCTGTCATTTGTTCATCATAGGAACTCAAATCATTAAACTTCTTAGAGAGAACACAAGAGTTGACTACTTGAACACTGCTCCTGCTTGAGTACAGAACTCTTAACTTTTAGGTACAAGACTTGGGATAAATACCGAATGATATTTTCTGCGGGTATGAAAAAGTCTCATTGTTGCTATATTGGAGTTGTTGCTTGTACATATTTATGTGTAAGGCAATCAATACTTGTGGAGTTTTGCTGTATGTTTAGGAAATGAATTTATAGTATATGATGACTTTTGATTTATTAGAATGAAAGGAAGTCACAAGTGAAGAATGCTTAGTATGACAACCTGGCAGCAAGTTTGATAAGCAGTTATAATGTTTTTATACTGAAAAATATACTAAAGACATGACCATCTTCCATCTACCATTACTGTTGTTGCTGAAAAGTGGGAAGAGAACAGTATTTTACTTTTTTGTCATGTGATAAGAGATGTTATTGATTATCATTTTATTGGTAACAGTCAGCTCTCATTATTTGGAGTTCATATTCTCAGAACAGAAAAATAATTGAACAGACCTATTACTGTTGAAAGTTGACAAATTGACATGCACCCTACATTTTGTAGAGCCCAAGTGATTGATGATTGTTCAAGGAAAATATAACCACTTAAAAAATGAAAAAAAGGAAAATAAATTGAATGTTGGACTCCATACCAACTTCATACATTCCACTTTTGTTGCCGGTCTGTTCTCTAACCACAAACTTTATTCCCTGGATGATGTAGACATGTTTATATTTTTGGTGGAATGATAAATAGAAAAAATAAGATTCATGTAAGGATTCTCCAATGTTAAAGCACTGAATATATCTTTTCAAGAGATTTTGTTATTTTAGAATCTAATTCATATATCTTTTAAGATTTAATGAAAGGAATCATTCTCTTTATGTGTGTATAGTTGTGTATCACATTTAATAGTTAACATATTCAGTGCCAAATAATGTTGCTAGTCAATTAATAGTCAATAGGCTTACTATAGTGGTGTCTGCTCCAAGGTACTCTTTAAATCATAATGTTTGTGTTCTTAAGCTTAGAAATGTAGGAAGTGGTTACGTCTCACCACTGAGCCTCTGCTAGGCAGTCCTTCGCATAGCACCTTTGATCTCTTTGGCGAGGGTGGTATCTCTCATGTTATAAGGTTGGCTTGCAGAAGATGACAGATATTCAGAGCTAGTCCTTCCTTAAATACAATTGTGGGAAACTTGGTAGGATTGAAGCAACTGTGATTTATGTCCTTCAAGCCCCAGCAATAGTATTTGGTATCTGGTAACTAGAATGAGCACAGAGGAGTTTCTTCTGAGAGCCAGCCACTTCCCAAGCCTCTGAGACTCACCTGTCGTCAATCTACTCCTGCTTACATAACCCCAGGTGCTCAAAATTGACTTTGAAGAAAAGTAAACCTTCTGTGGCTATCTGTAAGCATCATGGACATTACTGAGACAGTTCCTATGCTCTTAATTGCATCCCTCCTGCTTATTTAGTAGAGACCTTGAGAAGTGTTGCTTTTCCATTGTAAAAACAAAGAAACAGTTTGATTATATCATAATAGGCACAGTTCTTTAAAGTTTTTCCTTAAAATTTAAATCATGGCCATCTCCAAAAATAATTGTGAATATGCCATCTCGGTTTTCAGAAATGTGCACAAGTTCAAAGAGAAATTTCAGTAATAAAGAACAGAAATGGGTTCCATCAGTCCACATTAGCATTGGCATCATTGGTAAATGCAGTGAGTAATCAGCACAGAATGGCAGTTTGCAGGCAGTGTAGGGGTGAGCCAGGGGAATGTTTCTTGTACAGGGGCATATTAATGGCATGTGATATCTTGCTATCAGTTATGGAAAGTAGTAGTTACCAAATCAGCATGGTTCAACAGTCTATTTTCTTATCCAAAGACTTAAGGTTGTCCTTCAGATATCTACTTGGCGGTTGGTTGTCTTCTTAGGTAAAGATAAGAACTTTTAACCTCTCACTTGTGAGTGAGTGTACTGAGTGGCCACCCTCGCCCACCCCTCACCCAGTCATGTTCATTGCTCTCAGTCTCGCTTCCTCATGGGTTGTTCAGGAAACTAGTGGGGGTTTCATTATCTACCACTGTTATCAACACAGGCAGACCTGCACAGTTGACTGTCAGTGTAGCTTATTTTTTTGAATAAAGAAAAAGATATTTCTAATTATCTTATAGGATTCTTTTTTGACAAAAGATTAGTATATATGAATAAATATGTATGCTGTAAGACATTCCAGGAGCATAGACAGTTTGAGGAGACTTTGTACGGCCATTTTATACTCTTCATAAGGACAACTTTTGCTGTTTATACTGGCATAGTAAAAGGCAATATGATGACCCACTGTGCTTCATGTTTTGCTTTCTTATGTCTGTGGCTTGTGGCTGCCTCCTCCTGGCCACACTGCTGCTGACCTCAGCTTACCCTATGTGGCATCAGGACCTGCCTGCCAGTCATGCTGTCACCAGGAGGCAGGACCCCCCACTCCTTAGAGTGATTGCCAGAAAATATCGAATAAGTAGAGAGCTGTTGTTGATTTTCACTTGTTACATGTCTTGGTAACGATGGTGTACATTTCTTTTAGTGTTGTTTAGACGTTGTCTAAGTACATTCTAATTAGTGGGTGTCCTTTTGACATCCCTTTTCTGAAAATGATTCTAGGATAGACTGGCAGATGGTCACCCTCCTGTAGAGGCACGTACAATCATTATGTGTAGAGCTCTTGGAAATATTATGCCATAACCTTGGATGTCCTTCAAAACGGCTCAATTTCATATGGTAGAAACATCGAATAGTGTAGCTCGGGGCCACCTGCCACTCTTGACTTTCTATGGTGTCACAGCTCTTAGAATGTGCTGTGAGTCCATCTAATCCTCCCATCTCCAGCCCTCACCTGCACCCACAACTTCAGCCATCAGTTGGTTTGATATCCTTAACTGCCTCAGTCTACCTTTTTATTTTTGTCCACTTAAGTTGGCTTCAGGACATCAGTGAAGTACTGAAAGTTATCAAACATTAGAGATGACATTCTGTCAAAAATATCTCATCCAGTCAAGACTAGTTCTGTGCAAGCACATGGTATATGTCTGGCATTGGCACTATGGTGAATGTACATTATTTATGTATCATACAGTATGCATTTGCTATTATGTATATATATATTTCATGTTTTAACTTCTATTTATTCTTTTAGTTCTTTTAATTATCTCTTAGTTTTGTCAGGAAGTCAACATTTTAACTTCTGCCACCTCAGGTTGAAACCATCTTCTGTCCAGTCAGAGGACATAAACAATCTGACAGTTATTACTTTTGGTAATTAACTTGACATCTGTTATCATTTATTATCCCTCTTAGTACTGCTTATATAAGCCATTGTATTTCAAATATGTTTTTAAAAAATGTTCCCACTTGTTTAAACACTTCAAATTGGTGAAGCCTGATAATTGCCATAATGTAAAAGGATGGCAAATGGATGTGTTTCAGGTTTCACTGCATCCAATTAGGTGCAGGAAGTGGTCTCATGGAAGACCTGAAGCACAGATTATCTGTCCTGACTTATGGTAATTGCTTATTATTTCTTTTTTTTCCATTCTGTATTAATCCACTTTCTTGATTGGTTTCCTTTTTATCCTCGGAAGTATGCATTACCCCTCCAAGTATTCATATAAGTGTTCCCGTCCCATTTATATATATATTGGCAGACAGAGTCTATGGGTGTGCCTAATCTGGATCATTAATGACATTTCTAGGCATTCCCTCACTGTCTAATTGCTGACAATAGAACTTCAGCTCTGCTATATTTTCATTCCTTCTTATCATCCAGTTGTAAAGCTTATTGTTCTATGATTTCCTTCAGATTTTCTTAATTTATGTTGGCACTTTGATATTATTTTATGGTTTGTTTCTTGATTTCTATCACCTACCCCCTCTGGAGTTTGCAAGACCCCTTCCTCAGTGTCCCCCCGTTCTTGAGTGACACCTCGTGTGACGGGCACCACCCCAGCACATACAAAATGTTTTATCCCTCTAGATCATCTACATTTCTCTAAATATTAGAGGCCAACATGGGGCACCAATGACATTGTTTGAGCCTGCACCACTTATGTACCAGCAACAGAGGATATATAATATGTAACTAAGTAGCACAGACTTGAACTGACAATCTGAGGGCTCCCATGTGGGTCTCCTAGCAGCAATCATGATGCTCCAGGGAGGGCTTCGAACAACGCTCAACCCTTCTATAGAATACTCAATAAGAATATTCTGTTTTCAGACTGCAAGTAATATGATAGTTTGCTTGTGAAAATATTTGACTTTATATCTTAGGAGAACAAAGTTACATCTGAAAGTGTTCAATAATTCATGAAAGGGTTATATTGTATGATAGAAATGTATACAGACTAATGTATTGTGTTAATATCATTAAACTATTTATACAATGCATGAATCTCTCATATCCTTCACTAATATTAACATTTAAAGTAGTGTGCCTTTGCTCTAACAGTCATAGCTGCTTGAATTATCTAGATTCATCAGCCTTAACATCCAACACATCATAGTAGAAGTAATATCATCAGTTGATAATCATCAGAGTAGAAAGGAAGCCTAAAGTGCCCCATTGATCTGAACTGTAATGCACTTTGGTAACAAACTTAATGGTTATAAATGCTTTCATGTGGTAGTTTCTTTCTGTTAATGTAATTATTTTTTTTTAATTTGAGTTGAAAATAAGAATAAAACTGTAGTATCCAGATACTCTTGTACATACAAAAGTATGATTTTATATAGAAAGAGCCTCAACACTAGTATAAAAAGGTTCTTTAAGAATGTTTTTTTTTACAAGAGTGCAATCATTAAGGATTGTTTTGAAAAGCTAAAATATGAGTTGAACAAGTTCTAAATAACTCCAAAAAGCAGAAAAGGTATCTTTCTGACAGTATCTTTCACTGACAAATCAATAGTTACCAGAAGATAAGTTTCTTTGCATCTATGCATGCTTGCTTTTGTGTGAAAGGGTGTGCAAATCATGCTTATGAGAAAATTACATAAGAGCAAGAGAAAGAGAATCTTGCAAATACCATGCTTGATATACTGTGCAATTTTCTGAACTGTTCCACACATTCACCATATATATATGGCAGGTAATAGTGAGAATTTCAGTAAACACCAAATCATGTAAAGATCTTGCATTTTATTTTGAATTACTGACAAATATGACATTTTGTTTTAGTTGACAGATATATTAGGCAACAGATAACAGGGATTTTATTGTTCATATTAGAAATAGTGCAAACCAAAAGTATACTACATTACATTACCAGTTATGGTAAGAACAAAAAGTGGAAAAAGCATTCACAATTATTGACATTCTCTGGATTCCTCAACATGCACATATTTGTAATCTTTCTTCTCTCCTTGCCTCCCTCCCTCCCCCTATCCTCCTCTCTCTCCTTCCCTCCCTCCCTCCCCCTATCCCTCTCCCTCTCACCCATTTCTCTCTTTACCACAAGGCAGTATATTCTAGTCCTCAACCATACATGAGTGGTGTACTTTGATGAATTGCATGACTTGAGAAAAAACTAACAGCAGACACAATGACTTCATGTACTAGCTAACCAAAATAGCCATTGAAAATTCTTGCATGTCTTGGCTAAAATAAATGTTATTATTTTTATTTAATTAAGAATCTAAGATTTTTTCTTTTCATGAATATTTTCAAAGAATAGGATGATGATTTCCAGAGAATGATTATTTAAAGTGAAAAATGACTTGTTTGCTCCAGATGATGAAGTAAAAGATACAGCCAGTAGAAGTGGATGTCCAAGCATACCAGTTATACCAGGGGTTCCAATCCCCACCAATGGAAGTGCTCATAGTAGTAGTCCAGCCTACACGTGTGGAAGTGTCACCACGCACCACCTACGACCATCCCATCTATCTACTCACTACACTGACCAGCAATCACAGGGTGCGATACACAGACCTTCACATGACTCTCTCCGACCTGTCTCAGTGAATGGGAGTTCTTTTCATGCACCTTCTCCGGATGTAGGGTCGTGTGGAAATATTGGTTCAGGAGGAAGAAGGGGTGTGCATGGAGATGGCCTAAAGAGTTCTCCTTGGCCAGGTTTCCCTTACACTGGGGGTGGGGAGAGCCACCCAGAGGAAGACATGGAAAGTGTACTTGGCAATGGTACCATTACTATTGATGCTCTCCTCCAGCAACTGCGAGCACTTTCTTAGTTACCTTTTCAATGCAGTAAGTTAGTTTTAGATTTGATTATTTTATT